TGTACTTTTTAGAAAAAGAAAATATTCTTGATAAATATCAGTGTGGCTTCCGTTCGTCACAATCTACATTGGACCATCTCTTCCGCTTGGAGTCTACTATCCCTGAGGCCTTCGTAAATAAACAGTACTGCCTCTGCCTTAAGGTTGAAAGCTGGGCTAGTTGGTGATCGTTGCACATAATGGAATAAAACAGACGTCGCAAGCAAACTGCTAAAGAAAGTAAAGGGTAGCCAGTCTACACAACGGGATGTGGAACGCAAGCGACCTGTAGTTATCCCGTACTTACACAGGATCTCCCACAATTTAAAAAATGTTGGAAAACGATATGGAATCGCAGTGGTTTTCTCCGCACCACAAAAAATGAGCCAGATCTGCCCCAGAGTTCATGCGAAGGCAGAGGGAATCGCCAGAAACAAGTGTAGCAAGAAGCACACCAGGCCGTTCGTCCCATGTGGCACGGGAGTAGTCTACAGTATCCCCCTCTCGTGCGGCTCCACCTACGTGGGACAAACGGGACGGTGCCTGAATGAAAGGCTCCGCGAGCATAGGTACTCCCTCGGAGCGACAGTGGAAGGACACCTATCAGTTCACTGCAAAGAGTGCCTGTGCGAGCCGTTTTTTAGAGCCACCACCATCTTGGGACGACACAGGGACACAGTGACACGCGAGGTGCTGGAGGCCTTCCACATCCAGAGTAGAGGAAAAAAGTGTATCAGCGCAGCGTCAGTGGCGTTGTCAGGCAAGGAGCTGGAATTCCTGAAGTTGACAATGGGTCCAGCACGTGCCGTAGTCAGCTACAATGGGTGAAAGGTGCGCGTGTGATTGCGTGCAGTAATGTCTTTTTCTTCTTCTTTTCCTGTATATTTTTATCTTTTTTCTCTTTCTCTTTTTCGTTGAGTAAAGAAGCCGTAATTGCGAGTCAGCGCTCTGTCCTGTCTGGTGTGTCTCTTCCTATTTCTATCTTCGTGCTGTTTTATTCCATTATGCCTCTGCCTTCTTCGATTTAGAAAAGGCTTACGACACAGCCTGGCGGCAGGGCATCCTACAAGATATGTATAGCTCTGGCATTCGAGGCAGGATGCTAGCATTCGTAAAAAGCTATTTGGCGATACGTACCTTTCGTGTCAAATTAGGCACTACCTACTCTAGAGAATTCTGCCAGGAAAACAGCGTTCCCCAGGGAGGTGTATTGAGTGTCAACCTTTTTATAATAAAGATAAACTCAATAGCCCGGGCCATCCCATCATCCGTACAGTATTCACCTTACGTTGACGATCTTCAGATATCCATCCGTCTAATCCTGTAACATTGCTTTTTGTGAACGTAGGATCCAATTAGCAGTAAACAATCTGCTCAAGTGGGCTGATCAAAACGGTTTTAGGTTTTCACCAGAAAAAACAGTTTGTGTTTGTTTTTCTCGCTTACGGGGAGCTACAGTAGACCTATCGGTGACCATGCACTCCACTCCCAATTCCAACAAAACCAGAACAGAAGTTCCTAGGGCATATTTTTTATCGTGAACTGTCCTTTCTTTCTCATATTAGGTATCTTAAGGTAAAATGCCAGAAAGCACTAAACATCCTTAAAGTCCTTTTGTTTACCTCACGGGGCTCTGATCGTCTGTCTTCTCCGAATTCACAGTTCGGTGGTTCGCTCACGCCTCGAGTATGGTAGTTGTGTATATGGATCGGCAAGGCCCTCTGCTCTTCGAATGCTTGACCCCATTCATCACCAGGGATTGCGACTGTCTACAGGTGCATTTCGCACGTCGCCTATCCCCAGCCTTTATGCAGAGACAAATTAATGGTCTCTGGAAAAGCGAAGGTTTGCTTTGGGGTTTATGTATTCCCTTAGAATACATTCATTCACCCTGCATCCTGCACGCAAGGTTGCGGAAAAAACAAGATATAAGCTCACCTTTGACAACAAGCCCTCTGTAATCCCACCTTTTAGTATAAGAAATGCAGCCGCAGCAGATTCGGTTGGACTGAGCTGTACAATGCCCATGACCCTCGTACCTCAAGCAATAGTGGTCACAGCTTGTATTACACAGATGGCACCAAGACGGAAACGTTCGTTAGATGCGCGTGGTTGGCCCCTCTGTTCGCTATGCGCAACGAATTGCATATACAGCCACTATTTTACGGGCTGAACTATGTGGTATCTGCCTGGCAGTTAATCATTATAGAAACGAAGAGCATGAATTCAGTTGTTTATACTGATTCACTTAGTTCACTGAGAGCGCTCTCATCACTAAATACCTCTAAACACCCAATAATCATAGAGTTGCAGAATAAAATCATCGATGCTTCCAAAAGGAATATTGAAATAGTCTTTTGCTGGGTCCCAAGCCATGTTGGTATACCGGGTAATGAGGAAGCAGACCTTGCAGCCAGTTCTGCTGGTGACAAAGAAGTCGAACTACATGACATTCCATATAAAGACTGTCACAGCCTTTTAAGGCATTGTGTAAGAGAGAAGTAGCAGCAAGAATGGGACAAAGAAGTAAATAACAAGCTGCATACTGTAAAGCCATTGCTTAGCGAGTGGGAGAGTGCACGACACCGTGAGCACTTCTATGAGGTTGTCCTGTGTTGGCTAAGGATAAGGCATACGCACCTGACCCATGGCCATCTTTTGTACATCTTTTGTGCGCGCGCCTTTTTATTTTTGGCGTTTATATCTCCCGCCGCTCACCTCCTTGCTTCTTTTGATCGGTGACATCAAAAATCGTAAATTTAAAAGCTTTGTAGGCGACATTTCTATAACATTTAATAACGGCAATCGTAAAACATGTTTTTTAACGCAATTGCGAACGCACTAGGCCCCTCTTTTTGAAATACCAAAAATCGGAGTTCGGTGAGATGTCGCTTCCTGGTTTTGTATCCTCTCTCGAAAAACTTGGCGGCGCTCGAGCAGAGGGTGAGCGGCGGGTCGGGGAAGAAACCAGATTTTTCTCGCGGCGGCGCCCTTCTATCCCACCTGCTCACCTCCTCCTCGCTTCGGGTCACGGTGGCAAGGGCGCTCTGCTTCGTAGCGTGAAGCGGAGGTCCGAAAGAAAGTTGAGTTGCTGGAGGCTGCAAAATTTGACTCACTGCACTGGCGCGGATCGCGTGGGAACTTCGAATTCGGCATTTGGAAATTGTTTTTTACTTCACAAATACTCGATTCTCAAGTTTCGAATTTTTTACGGTAACGTCCCGGCATCGTTTTCAATTGTTTCGGATAATAATAAAATATATGATTTTGATGTGTCGGTGCCCCTTTAAGCTTTATTTTTACCTCCGACTTTGTTTGTCAGTTGCGTCACGTGTATATTCTGTATACTGTGCTTAGGGTGCTGTGTCGTATCTATTGCATGTCGTCAGCATCAGTTCTATCATTCTCATTAGACTTCTGTCCTGCTGGAACATGCCGAGGTTCTTGCTTTAGGCCTGGTGACTTTTCTGGGTCCCGATTATTGTGCAATGTCATAATTAACTAAATATTGGATTTATTAATAAAGTAGATGTTTTTATACACATTATATTCTTTTTTATTATTTGTTCCAACTTTCAATTTTGTATTTAAAGGCCTATCTATAGGATTAGTTTGATTTTTTTTAACATTTATATAGACCGAGAACTTTCAATTTTGTATTTAAAGGCCTATCTATAGGATTAGTTTGATTTTTTTTAACATTTATATAGACAGAGCCTCCCCCAGGCTCGGTCTAAAATAAGCCGTAAAAATCGACGCCTGCACATACCAATCTAAACTTTTCATAAAAGGTGTATTTCACAGGTTGTTTTTTTCTTGTAAAATTACGAAGCGTAGCTCCCGCACAACTTCGTCCCTCTTCAATGCTGATCTGAGTTGGGGGAGCCGCGCGATGCGTCGGAGGCGCGGGATTGGTGCGGATGGCCCGTAGAGTTAAGCCCCAAACACGTGAGCAACAGAAATAGTCACGCCGCGATTACCGTAGCAACTGCCACAACTGCTATATCATACCTGCCAAGTTTACCTCATTACCTGGGAGACTCCTGGATTTCGACCATTTCATACGGTTGTACAATTGACAGAAAAATCTCTTGGAAAATGCTAGTCAACCCCTCCCCCCCCCCCCCCCCTTCCCCGCACTTAAACAAAGTTTTCGCCGTCGCAACAGATGGCAGCAGTGATAACAAGGAACAGCCGTATCTCGCTAGCATGTGCAGTGCAATGTTATCTTCCTGTAAATTCATGGTCAATATTTCTTGTAAAGAAAAAATAAAAGATGTTTACGAATATCTGTGATGCGAAATTAGAGCGCAGCTCTAGAAAAGGAGGAGGGAATGGTACGGAGGGGTGGATACGCCCCTCCTTTTCCTCTGTTCCCTCCTCACCTTCGTCGTCTTCCTCTCCTCCTCCTCTTCTGTACCCTCTCCTCCTCTTCCAACCAGTCCCCTCCCCGAACAGTTCCCCCGCTAAATTTAGCGGGGAAAATGACGTCACATTGACCGCAACACACATTCAGTTTCTCCACTAAATTTAGCGGAGAAAATGACGTCCCATAACTTTGTGTCACGTCACTTATGAACAAATTCAGTTTCTCCGCTAGATTTAGCGGGAAAATTGACGTCACGTGACCTCAACACCAATTCAATTCCCCACTAAATTTAGCGGGGCGGTTACGCCGACTGCGACGCCGCTATACGCGAAAACTGGCGCCCCAAAGCTGCGCTCTACAAATTCCCTTTCCCCCTCCACCTTAGGGAAACCTCTTGGATTTGGTTTCTCCGAACTTGGTAGGTATGCTATATTAACCACCGGGGGATGCCTGTTTTCATCAATCGTGTGTTTGGGGCTTTAGACTCTTGCCAGCGGGATTAGGGAAAAGAATATGGTTTAGCTATTTGAACACCTAGGAATATACTGTCTGCAATGGTTGTCCAGCTGGAAATGAATGGCCAGCTAGTGTTCTGCTAACATAGAAATGGTTATGGGGATGCCTATTTGAATCTGCGTTTGTTCGCCTCTAGATTGGCTGGATGGACCAACAGCTACCCCAGAAAGTGAGGTTCCTCGTCCATGGCCACCAAAAGCAGCTAAAGTTGGAAGGCCTGCAGAGGAAAGTGACCTTCTACCCCACATCCAGAACTATAGACGTACACCTTCTCAACAGGATGCTCAACGGAGACTTCGGTATGCAGGCCTCTGTTTTCTTTCTTGACTACAGTGATGTCATTGCTGTGCCAAACCCTGCCAGAGCCTGCTACATTTTTCCAAAATGTGAGGAATTTACAACAACATTGTGTAAAAACTTTATTTCACTTTACTGATATTCAGAAATTAGGCATGTGCAAATAGTGGATTTTGAGTTTGAAGCAAGTCCAAAGCGAATAGCGGTTTTGGTTAAATATTTTTTGCCTTCTTCTACTGCACCATTTACCACTGCACCATTTAAAAAAGCTTTCAGCCTTTTCACTCTGATGAAGAAGGAAGAGCAGCGGAGCTGTAGCATCTGTTCTTGGCGGTGGCTTTCCAAACGAGCGATCTACTCTTCTTTCGCAAGGGAATCTGAAGCGTTCAACGCAGTGAAACTTTAGGCGATAGTGGCTTCGCAGCGGTTGCGGAACCATTCGCACTGCTGCGCGCATCGCCACTTGTTCCGCTATCGCCATCGCCCTTCTTCCTCCGAAGAAAGGTTGCCGCCATCTATGAGCGACGGCGGCAACCAGTTGTCTGGTTGCCGCCGTCGCTCATAGATGGCGGTAGCTATCCAGAGTTCGGTGTCATCATTTCTAATCCGGCAGACACGACCCTGGAGAAGCTAGCCCTTAAAAGGCAACTCCGCTCAATTCCGAAAAATTTAGGCTTCCATGTGATTCACATTCACAAAGCACTACTAAACAACTCTACGTCTTCGGATTCGCGAAATGTGGAATATTATTTGTGTAATCCTAATTTAAACATCAGCAGATATCGAAACCGAAACTTCGGTTGCGTCAGGCAACATTGGTCTCGGGTCGTCAGAGTCATGGCACGTCACGTCGAACCACGTGGTCTTGTGACGTTCGGGAGAAAGCAAAAAACCAAGCGAGGTCTTTTTTTTTTTTTTTTTTAATTTTATTGGACGCGGGCAGGTCGCTCCGCATGGCGTGGACGGTTATGACCCGGGGGCGAGGGGGAAGGGGAGAAGACGAAAGAGGAGAAAAGGAGCGGAGAAACAGACCGATAAGCGCGCAGGGGAGCGCATCCCAGGCACATCCGTGTTATGGTGATCACGTGAACGCCCGGTCAGCCAACACCGGGAGGAGAAATTCATGACGTCATCGTTCAATTTCGCTCTGAGAAGTAAAAACAAACAAAACGTGAGAATGACGTATGCATGCCTCTGACGTAGTGGCTCAACGTTGGCCGCTCCATCTCCGTGGCATTGACTGCGCTGGTGATTGCGCCTCGCGCCTTCTAGAGTTGGCAGATTTCGGCGACTTGGCTCGCTTGAAGGTTTGCTGGCCAGTTTATTAAATATATAAACGAAATTAGATTGTAATATTTGACATGGGGTCTTCCTATATGATACTGAAGAGGGCTACATAGTTTTCTAAATATCAAAAATGAAGCGGAGTTGCCCTTTAACAGCTTCGCTGTAAAATCTATCTAAACTCATGAAGGTTGTTCCCATGCTTTTTGTCCTTTTCTCAGCCAAGTTAATTTTTATTAAACTATATCAACTGTGGTTTCAAAAAGTTCAATGCCTACATTGGGATGGGAAGTAAATGATGCATCTGACATAAAATTAAACCTATATAGATGCCCAGCTATTGGCCTCTAGATCGACCTAGATCTGGCGCTACTGTCGTGCTATCATCATCATCAAAGCGGGGGAAGAAGCAAGTTCGCACCATAGGCTCTCCACGTTCGCATGCGAGACGGTGTGGATTCTTGCATTGATTTTTGTCGCACGGTATAGGTGGGAATACAATTTTAGAGAAAAATGGTGCGGTACCGTTCGGTACTTCAGTGAAGATCAAATCATGTTACCAGCGTACGGACAAAATTTAAATAATTGCTCGTTTGGATGCGTCCTCTGCTTAAAGGGGCACTGACACCCCAAAGGTCGTATTCTTTTTTATTGTCTAAAACGATGCAAGTTGCAGCCATAAACACGCAAAAAAAAACCGCATCGCAAAAAAAAAATTGTCCGCGCGCGCGCGCGCCTTTTTATTTTTGGCGTTTATATTTCCCGCGCTCACCTCCTTGCTTCTTTTGATCGGTGACGTCAAAAATCAGGAAATTTAGAAGCTTTGTAGGCGACCTTTCTATAACATTTAATAACGGCAATCGTAAAACATGTTTTTTAACGCAATTGCGAACGCACTACGGCCTTTCTTTTTGAAATACCGAAAATAAGATTTCGGTGTGATGTCGCTTCCTGGATTTGTGTGCTCCCTCGGAAAACTTGGCGGCGCTCGAGCAGAGGATTATCGGCGAGTCGGGGACGAAACCGGTTTTTTTCCCGCGCCGGCACCCTTCTATCCCGCCTGCTCGCCTCCTCCTCGCTTCGGGCCGCGGTAGCAACGGCGCTTAGCTTCACAGCGTGGAGCGGAGGTCCGAAAGAAAGTCAAGTCGCAGGAGACCGCGAAATTTGACTCACTGCACTGGCGCGGATCGCGCGGGAACTTCAAATTCGGCATTTGGAAATTGTTTTTTTAATTCAGAAATACTGAATTCCCAAGTTTCAAATTTTGAGGGTAATGTCCAGGCATCGTTTTCAATCGTTTCGGATAATAAAATAAAATATGATTTTGATGTGTCAGTGCCCCTTTAAGGCTGACGTTGGGAAGCATAAATCACCACAACGAATGCGTGTCTTGGGGTGAACTGCATTATTTATGATAAATATTTGTTTCTTTTAAAATAGATGCATGTATTGGTTTCCCAGCGTGGGAATTCAACAAAACAATGAATTCCAACCCGGATAGCATATTCCTGGTACTGTGAGCTGTGAAATCGCAGTTTATATGCATTATCTTTTGTAACTTTTAGCTTTTGCAGTAATATAAATATTGAGCATGAAGAGAAGTTAGTGCTGGATTGGAAATTACCGTGCTATTGAGTTCTGCTGCAGCCAATGTTTCCCTTTACTGTGCCATGGTGTGGGAAAGTTTTCCGGAGTCGGAACAATTCTGCTATGTTGCGATGAGGAGAGAGTGCCTCTATGGCGAGACGAGCAAAGCTACGTCTCGCCGTAGCTTTGCTCGTCCCGAGACGAACTACGTCACGATTGCGTTGGGTGTCGCATGCTCTCCGCTGGCTGTTCTCCGAGCGCTTGCCAGAGTGGGCCGTTTATAACGAAAAATACAGCCACCCAGGTTTAAAATACAAACGTGTGATTGTCATTTACGGATATTGTGGATCATATTCAACCTATTTTTGAACACGACGGGTATATTCCAAATTTCGTTGAAGTATCCGTTTAAGGGCGGGGCACAAATTTAAAATCAAGATTTTTTGAAAAAGTAATGTTTTTGAAAAATAATCCTATCAGCTTGTATAACTCCTGAAGAATGCTGTCAAAAAGTTTTATTCCTGTCGATAAAGTATTAAGATAAAGCTTCGTAAAAGCTTTATCATAAATAAAAGTAGATAAAGCTTCGTAAAAATGCTTGCGGTCGCAAATATTGGCCATTGTCAAAGAGCGCTCGCTCCACGTTGCGCTGGACACTGGAAATCCCGAAATTTCCAGCGAGGCTTGGGACAGTAGTGGCCAGTCAGGTAAATGAAGTTTCCAAAATAACACTGGATCAGCGGTGCTAGTCACAGCATACTGGCGGTCACAAAGAAACTCTGATTCTAGGTCACTCAGCTAGCTCTCGTCTCGGAGGACCAGCCGATAGATACTTTTTTAAGGCACAGATCCCTCTGGCAGCTCCACATTCCTGCACGGATTAACAATTGGCACGCGGAACCAGAACGACGATTCATCTATGAAATCTGTAACGTAGTCATCTTGAGCTTTCCGCTTACTTCCCATTCTGGTGGCCTTCTACTCCGCATGACGACGAAGGGAAGCAAGTCTCACAATAAGAAAACCCGCAGACGCGGGACGGACGCGCCTTCTCAAACACGTCTGCAAATGTTTTGGCAGAACAGTCCTTTTATATAAAGCGAAAAAACCCCACGCCAACAAAACCCTTTTTCCGTTTCCCCAAAAGCCCATGGAAACTAAATAGATAACAAGGAACGCATCTCAGTTCTGAAAGGTCAGTAGCCCCGTACGACACGGATGTTGGCAGTGTCTTCCAGGAACCACAGCAACCTCTGAATACATGGCTTGCACCGACATTACTTGGCCAGACATAATGGGGAAAGGGCACGTGAGAGCGTACCCTCCACTGCGTTAATTTTTCCACAAAAGGAGGCCATAAGAGACACAATGGGGGAAAGGCGTGTGAGAGCTTAGCTTCCACTGCGTTAACTAGACACTTTTGACCCCCAGAAAGGAGGGCGGACTGGCGCCACGTGCAAGCCACGTATAGACACTGGAAGAATGCATGATCCACGAGATAACACGTTCGACGAACCTCTACGGGGAAAGGGTTTTGCTAGGTTGGAAACATGCGACGACCGGTGTTTTTCGGTTTTAACCAATTTTGTATTTTCGTCGCTGACGGATGTTTATCGATGTTTTTCGGTTAAAACCGAAAAATACACACCCTATTTATACATAATACACGCTGCAGTGCAAAGGACGATGACAAATAAAAGACGTAGACAGGACAAGCGCTGAACTCATAACTGATGTTTGATAACATTAGTTTATTCGCTGGAAAGGTTGTGAAAGAGAAGAAAGATGTTACAGTTATTTTTAATTTAATTTAAAGGAATGTCAAACTAATTACATAATTAGCCTCCGACTTGTTGTTCATTTTAAAACTGTTACATATTATTAATCACTTATTATGAGTATTGTGATTAGCCCAAATGCAGGAGACATTCAAAGTTTAATTGTTAAAGAAGAAGAGGCCGGTAGCTCCGAGACAATATTTTCATATAAATGAAAGAAGGTAAATCAGACACACCAATTAAAAAAATCAAACTCTTTCGCCGACATGGTTCTTGATGCCAAACTTACGCAGGCCTGCCCAGTGATGTGATGGCTGCGCCAATTGCGCCAAACTGCGCCAAGGGGCTAGCCCTGCTACATCCTGCTACATTTTGTCAAAATATGGGTAATCTGCCCCAAGCCTGTGCCAATGGGCCAATTTTTGTCGCCTTTCAAAACTGAAAAAAACTAAGTACCGTAACTGAGCATGCATGAGCTAGGCGGCGCAAACGGCCGCCTGACACAAGATACCCTGCATCAATCGTCCATGGTTTTTTGCATGGTTTTTTCCGCCATGCCGTCTCTTCTTTCACGCTCTCGTCGTCTCGTAAGTGTTAGTCTCGTCTCGCGTTGTTTTTTTTCAATTTTTTTAACGATAGATGCCGGCGTGTGTGTGTGCTGCGACGCTAGCGTGCTGGGTACCAGCCATGACGTGACGATGTGAAACGAAACTTTGTTTCGGCGCAGCGGGACTTACTTTTTGAGCTGAAGCTCTCGCTCCTGAAATCAACGGCCACACGACGTTGCAGATATGGAGCTGCCTAAACTGAAACATAAGGTTTGCCGCATGTTCATCAACATTCATGTTCTTGTTTAAAACATACGCTGCTACAAAAATCCCTTTCTAACTCAAAGACTGCTGTGTCGAAGTATTGATTACCTAGGTTTCTCTTGGTGGGCTTTCTTTCGAGAGGGACACCGGTACGTGAAAAATGTGTCGCGAAGAAAAGTTGAAGTGAGCTAAAGCAAAGAAGGGAATGTCAACACGCTGAGCCCGCAGAGCGCGCTTGTTTGTCTCGAGTTCAATAGTTGCACAAAGTGACCCTGGCTCTTGATGTCTTGCATCAATGCACTCAGGTTCTTTTTTTCTGTGTTTAGCTCGTACCTCGCCTGCTGGCCTTGCAAGCACGCGGCGCTGCACTCTTTTTTTGTCGCATGCTGGGCAGTTACATTTTGCATAGACTTTTGGCAACCAGTTGGCGACGGAGCGGAGAGGCATGGTCTCGGTTTGGATCGAACAGCCGTTTCGCTCGCGCGACGAGCACGTGCACCTGCAAGCCTGCCGGAGTTGCCCTCACGTGCATGCGAACCAACGATGCGATCATAATAGCTGAGCGGCGTTTGGCAACTTCCGGTTCCTTAGGAAATTTTGTTTAGCTGTTGACAAGCGGCGATGATAATCTGCAAGCCTGTCTAAGCATGGTTCTGAAAACTACAATCTGGAGGTTTCAAAATTATGCTTCCACAGGCTTCCAGCTCATTGTTGTGCTTGTCAATGGCGAAACAAAATTTCCTAAGGAACCGGAAGTTGCCAAACGCCGCTCACCTATTGCACAACAGAGGCACCAGCCAGGACGCTTGCAATTCATTGTTTTACATTTAATTACTTTTGAGGAAAATCTGGCACGTCGGCAATCAGTAAAACGGTGGCAAGCGGTTTTTCGGAATTGCTTGGCAATGCGTACAGCACTGTACACTTGTGGGATGTCGCAATGTCTCTTTCGAGACATTGAAAGTGGACATTTATTACTACCCTAAGCTAAAGCAAAGCTCGTTCCAGCCTTGCAGAATGTTTCGAGAAGCAAAAAGAAGTGTGTCATGTCATTGGCATTTCAGTTACATCTTGAAAGACTCCCAGGTGACCAAACTTGACCATAATTGGTTTATTTCGGCGAGCAAGGTTCCCTTCGCGTGGCCAGCATTTAAAACAAATATTTTTATTTTTATTAGAATATCTGCTTTGAACGCTACTTTTGCTGCTCCAAAACACTGTTTCGGCTGCTCCAAAACACTGTTTTGGCTGCTTCGAAAGGTGCTCCAAAACGGCCTAGGCCAATCACATCGCTGCCTGCCCTTTGGCGTAACCACTTGTGCCTCATATACTTCTCTAGTCCTTCGGTTGTGAAACTGGTTGAGTACTTTCTTGTCAGAAAAAATTGGGGTGCAACCACAGCCCCTCACATGCACGGCTAGATGGCCCCCTGGTGAAGATTTAAGGGATAGCGCATGCGCCCCGAGTCTCACGTTGACACACCTCCCCGGCCGTCCCAAATACACTTTTCTGCATGATAGCGGGATTTCGTCAATGATATTGCAGCGGCAGTCAACGAACTTCGGTGCATGATTGATCTTACATTTGTCATGATAGTCTTGCTGCTTGTTGATCTTGGGACTCGGCCATCTAAGCTTGTCAGGTGCGGTAAGGAGGATTGGTACCTCAAACCTCGCTGCTTTAAGCATCCTAGAAAACCAAAAGTTCCATTTATGCACAACCAATTTACGTATTAATAAAGTGATAAAAGGTTCCAACACTCTTCGTTGGCGCAGAACGACAGATAGCGCTACCGAACCTTGCTGAATACGTTAGAACGACAGACGGCGCTTGTCAGCCACTCGTAAACGATGGGTTCCCTCATGGATGGCTGGCCAGCTGCTCGTCCATGCAGGAACTGATCGCTCGTGAGTGGCTGATAAGCAGCGTCCACCGTTCTACCATATTCAGCAAGGTTCGGTAGCGTCGTCTGTCGTTCTGTGCCAGCGATAAGTGTTGGAATATTTTATCACTTTTTTAATACTTCAATCAGTTTGGCATAAATTTAATTTCTGGTTTCTGAGGATGCTTAGAGCTCGTAGATTAAGTTAGGGCCATAAAACAAAGATCTCGAAAATCACTTCAGTGCTCCTTAACCCTTTCATTGTCACATTTTTTGTCCAAAGACGCGTCCCTGTGGTCGGTTTTTTTTCCTCGATGCGATAGCAAAGAGTATACACTAGTTTATTGTCACATAAAAAAAATGTAAGACTTAAAATAAATAGTACACGACCTTCAAAGCATCTGCGGCACACTCGCTGGAGGCTGAAAAAACAAAAAAGACTAAAACTTCGACGCGCCCGCTTCTGGGACGGTCTAGCAGACGGTGCGGTTGTGTGTCAGACTCCGGACTCCGAACCGAGCTAGTTTCCTGTTGTTCATGGGATGTGGAGCTGTCATCCGGCTCAGAGCCCGAGAAGGGTTCAAAGTCTGAACCCGAAGAGCCATCGCTCCAATTTCCACTACGCTACCCCCGAGCAGCCAGCACGGTCGGCCGTCTCAAAAGTATCACTTGCACTGAGCATCCAGTTTCGCAATTTCAAAAAGCAGCGCCCAAACAAACACGACCGGAGTTATATGGTTGTAGTTCCCTACAAACTCACCAGATGGCAGCAAACTCACCAGCGCAGTGTGACGTCAGAATGCCACGCTTTGATTGGCTCTGATAGAAGGAGAGAGGGCAGACCTCAAAGCAAGCTGCCTTGAGGTCTACCCACTATCCTTCAATCGGAGCTCGGCATTCTGACGACGCCCCCACAACCCCTGCAAAAGAAGCAGACAAACTTGCGCTCTGCACGTAGATGGTGATTTTTGCGGCCACACCGTAAGTCAAATGCCTCACCTATTAGGCAAATTATATCTAAAAACAAAAACGCAAGTCGGAGCGTGTGGCGACTGCAACGGGCACTTGTTAGCTTGGAACTCCGGTTACCTCCTTGCATTCTTTGCAGAGCCCGCACAGGCGGCCAGGACAGGCGTGCCAGCTGGGAAGACGGTGGTGATCAGGAAGAACCCCAGGCCCCTGCTCCCATCCCCTCCCAGTACGACCTTTGTGGGACACTGTTCAAAACAGAAAAGCCCGCCAGCGCAGCCGAGCCCGAGGCAGAAAATTCGACCAGTGATGGCCCCATCGAGCACCACAAACCCACCCAAACGTACCCCCATCGTCCCGCCCAGGCAGCCCACCAAACCAGACGCACCGCCACAGAGGAAAAAGATTGTCTGGTAACTGTTCCCCCTCCCCCCCATCTCTGCAGAGGCATCACAAGTCATACAAGCGAAACATTGCCTCACACGTCCTTTCTCATATTGGACTGCTCAAGCCGAGCAGTTTGCAATCGTGTGTACAGTTTCCTTTGCTTTATTAAAAACAAGTTGTCGCCTTTTTAATTTTTTTTTTTTTTTTTTCATTATGGTGTTGAAACTGTTATAAGAGTTGAGAGTTCATATACTATACGGCATTTTGTGTTTTTACGATCCTAGATTAAATTGAATATTGGTTTCGAAGGGTTGTTTTCAAAATAGCAACACGAAGACTGGTTGCTGGGCTAAACTGACCCGAGTTCATTGTTTGCAGTGTAAGCGAATTTCTTACTTTTTGTAAATTGTTCATTATATAGCATGTTGCTAGTGTTATGAGAGTTGTTAATAAAAAAAAAACATGTTCAAGAGTGCTCCTTTCTTTTCTGAAGAGGCCTGGAGGAGGAGTGGCCCAAAACCATGAAAACTGGGACAGCGATGCTAACTATAACTTTTTCTTAATTAAAGGAGCCACAAAACCAGGTTGTGATTTTGTTTAACTAGTGTTCAAAATAAACACCATATCCATAAAGCAGGCATCAGGTCTTGTTTATACATGCTAGATTTTGCAGCAAGATCACTCTGCAGAAAAATGGGCAATATACAACTATGAGTTGTAATATAACGCTTATTCCTGGAATGATGTTTCTTTATTTTTCTTTTTTTAGATCTCAAACAAGTTAAAAGAAAATTAACTGACTGCATACTTAGCCCCCATTGCTTTCCAGCTTTTAGGCAGAAAGAAAAGAGAGAAAGAGTTGCATCGCTCAACTGTACTCATTCAAATTAGCTTTCGACAAGTTTACAACCAGACTGCATGACAGGTAAAAAGCGTTCTGCCTTTTGTGCCAGTTGTTGACTGTCATTGTTGCTTTCTCAGTACTGCACACTACTACCACAGAATGCATGCAAACAAAAACTCGTTAAAGCACCCTGAATTGTGGCACGGTGGCTATCAGCTAGTAGAGTGACGTTTTATTGACATTGTTTCGCCAACACTGCAATGTTTCACCGAAACAAGCCCATGTTCGTTGCCACATCGTACTGTGGATGTAGTACACTATGCTTACTTCATGATAGGTTTGGTTGTTTAGAATATGATTAGTAGATTAAATTTTGCTTGCATGTATCATTAGCCCTTCCAGTATACATAGTTCTGGCAGATGATAGCCAAGTCTCATCCTCTTCTAGAACAGTGTCCGAAATCCTAGCTCCCAGCGGTAAAAATGGGAAATAATAATCTCAAACTTTGGCTCTTCTGAAGAGAGAGGTTATGCATTAAACGATTTTTTGCTTTCAATGGCACTCTTGGCATTGGTGTCATTCTTGGAGCTTCATGACTATGCATTTACGACGTTCTTGCAGTACGATACGTGCGAAGGTTTGTATAAAGATTACAGGAGGACGCTTAAGCTTAGCCTTTAAGAGCGGAAGTCGATAGCTAAGCATTTAAACTTCCGTTTGTCCAAAAGCCATGTCAGCGTGGCCTAGTCAATAGTGTGTCTGACTCGCAACTAGGGTTGCCACCTGCCCGGACTTTGATTGGCTCAGCCGTTTCTTTCCCACTACACCTTTCTAGTATGCGCCGCCTTTTCCACCACTTGGTGGCGGGTATGTCGACGGGTCATTTCTGTTTCCCTACTTTGTAAACTGCATTTGTTTGTTTTTTTTATCTAAAATACTGAACAAAAAATACTTTCATAAATAATTGAAACGGTTCGTGCCACTTATGTTTTGTGTTTCGACTGAAAAGCTTTTAGCGGCTCCGACCAGTAGTAAGCCCAGGACCCAAGACTTCGCATATCGCGCGCTTTCGGCACCCCGGGATGCCCCCTTGGAATTACGTGAAGCAGCCATCATAAGGTGGCTTCAAATCGTCACTCCCCTCTCTCCTTTGCGCCTTGGCGAAGGGGCGGAGGGGACGCGAAGCGCGGACCGACCGTCCTGCGGCAGGCCATCGCCGCGGGTGCTGCTGGCCCTAGCGACACCACTGATGAGATGAAAGTGTTCGTAAAAAAACGTCCAGTTTAGGCTCATAACGCCGTAGTTCTCAAGGTGGCCTCTTACCACTGTATCATTGGTTCTGTACCACAAGGGATATATACCACAAAACTAAGCGAAAATAACATAGGACTTAGCCGCCAAGGCCGTCGAAACCAGAACCAACCAAATTGAAGCCGCTTTATGGCGCTATGTGTGTCAGTGCCCTCATTCCACAGGTCAGGCACCTACGGAGATGAAAAGGTCTATATTATAGAGTTATTACATTAAACGCTACAGGCTCAGCTGGCGCTAGTGTGCTGTTGCATTTTGAAGCAGACAGGAAGCAGTCGACATTTATCTTCCGGTAATGCATTCCTATGGGAAAACGCAAATGCGTTTCTCCGAATGCTGTCGCAGCGCGACTCCTTAACCCCAAGATAAAGAGAAAAAAATTGTTCAGTGGAGTGTGTTGTCAACATGGGTTGAGCAATCGCACTTTGAACGCCTTATCTTTGTTTACCTTTTTCTTTCCCCCTTATTGCTCCCGTTTTTCTTTTAGAGCGCAGCTCTTAGGCGCCCGTTTCCGGCTTGATCGGCGTCGCCATTGGCGTAACCGTGAGGGCACGTGACCCTCCCCGTGACAGGGGGTCGGTTGGTCGCGTAACCTCAGTTTACCTTTTTTTTTTATATTTTATTCGCTATGAAGTTTACTAACCACTCCCTTCTGTTTTCTCTTTGAATCTAATAAAAGTTACTCGTTACCATTAAAACTGTATTATGTCATTTTTTTTAAATATTATAACAAGCTTTTTAGAGAGTGACAGCATCTGGCGACTTGGTGTCAGCCCATCTTGACCTAAAACAAAGTTCTGTGTCACTCAGGGAGTTTCACAAAAGTACTCGGAGAAAACCTGGAAAACTCTGGGAATTTGAAAATGTCAAGTTGGTAGACACCCTCCTGCAAGAAGGATTTTATAAAATTCAGCAGTCTGCCGTGGATGCCCCTTTTTTCGGCCGCTTTTATGACCGTTTCATGTGGTATGGAGTCAAATGCCTTTTTAATGTCAATCGCCACGATGGTGCGGGGTTGTCCTTTTGGGGGAGTAGATGCTATGTCTCGGTGTGTCATGGCCAAGCTGTCCTGCGTTGAGAGGCCTTGCCTAAATCCTGTTTGCAGAGGGTGCAGTCTACTTTGTGTTTCCAGGAGCCATATAATATGGGCTAAAACCATTCTCTCCGTTATTTTACACAGGTTAGAGGTGAAATAAATCGGTCTTAGGTTTCCAATATCGTTGGCTGGCTTGCCGGGTTTGGTTATCGGAATTACTGTGGAGTGTTTCCACCTTCTGGGTAGGGTGCCTTGTTCCCAAATTTGATTGTACCATTCCAAAAGTTCCTCCTGTTCTTTTTCTGGGAGGTTATTTATAGCAGCAACAGTTACATGGTCGGGTCCCGGTGCTGTGTTGCATTTGGCTGTGGCTATGGCCGCCAGCAGTTCCCCCTTGTTTAAAGGAGCGTCTTCTGGTGCTTGGTAGTCCGTTTGCGATCTTTTATAGCAGGTGCTTAGGGGGGGAGCTTCTGATATTCCAAGTTTGAGAGCCAGGTTGGCTCCCATCCCTTTGCTTTTAGTCTTTCCGCACATCCCTTGGTACGTGCGCCATGCTTTTCCTAGCCCCGTCTTCTCGTTGAAGGATCCACAGTGTGTTTGCCCTTTTTAGCCGACTAAGCTCCAGTATGTATCTTTTTGCTCAAGCCGGTAGCAAGATTGAGCTTGATTTTGAGTTTTTTTTCTTGTTTCTTTTTCCTGTACCGCTGTAAGGCTTGAAGGCGACTGGCCCATAGGTTAAGTAAATGCAGGTCTGGCGCGGGTGCGTCTTCTCGTACTCGATACTCTTCTTTTGCGCCGGCCATGGCCAACTGTATTCTGCGTGTTAGGTCTTCTGTGCTGCTCTCTCCTAGCAGCATTCGGAACCAATCCCATCTAATAAAGTGGACCTTCTTTCTCGCACCCACACTGATGTGCAATTTGATACTGATTAGAAGGTGGTCGCTTCCCATGGGGTCCGGCTTTGTGTGCCAGGTCACCCTTAGGTTCCTGGTTGTCCATGTTCAGTCCGGTGTTGTATCCGCTTCCCTTGGGTTGAGTCCTAGTCTGGTCGGTGAATCCGGCTCGTTACTGAGAAGATAGCTGTTTACACTTGCTGTTTAGGCTTTTTCCGCGTTGGTTTTCTCGCTTATATCCCCATGTTGTGTGTTGGGCATTGAAATCACCGGCCACCAGCGTAGGAATATTGCCGTGTTTCACGTCATCTAACCATGACATGTCATTTTCTTCCCGTCTGTGCGGTCTGATATAGGTATTAAAGATTCTACATTCCTTACCCCCTATTCCTACTTTGACGCCCACAACTTCCTGCGTGTTGTTGCAGAGATGTTGCGGGATGAGTTGTGCCTGGGAGATGTCCTTACTTATCAGCGTTGCTACTGTAGGCATGGGGTTCTCTGGTGTATGTTTACATATAGGAGTTGTAACCCCTAATTTTGATCGAGTCTGTTTTTGTTTTTTGCAGCAGGATGATAAGCGGTTTGTTGTCACCCATTTTGTCCAGTCTTTCCTTGAATTCTGCTTACTTTTGTCAGAAGGTTTGGCAATTCCACTGTAAGACCCATGGAGTCTTTTTACGTTTAGACCTTTGCGTACTGGTCCTATTTATTTCTTGGTCGGTTCATAGCATGGAGGGCCTGCAGAATGCAGTCCAGTGTATTTTCCATTTTTCTCACTCTTTGATCCAGTGATGCCATTCTCTGCGTGACGCTGCTGTTCTGTAGCATTTGTGTCGCCATCACAGACGGTTCATCGTGACATAGTACTGTATCAATTGACGCCGGATCGGGTGCTTGCCTCTTTGGTCCTAGCCTAAGGGGAGCAGCCCAGACCCGTTTGAGGCTTGGAACTGTTTTCAGTTCCACGGTTCGATGCTCTCGGTGGGGGTGGAGGGCCGTTCAAAAAGGGCCTGGGTGTTAGTATTCTCGGCTGTGGACGCCTTGGCGGTATCTGTCTTTTGGGTGGGCCCCTGCAGTTGAAACATTTCCGCAGCAATTCGCAGCCTTCTGCGTCTCCATGAATGTGTCCATAGTTGCCGCATCTTTTTGTGCCAGGGGGCACACATCGGACTTATGACCAATGCGGTGGCATGAGTAGCATACTACCGGTCTGCGTTTGTACTCCATTACATTGAACACTTCACATAGACACGCACATGCTGCGGAATTCTCTCACCTTCGAAAGTGATCAGTACCGTCTTTCCGGATCTTCTTATGATCCTAACTGTCACAATGTTGTTTGTGCGACAGTCTAATTCCTCCATTAGTGATTCTGGTGT